ATAATATATTATAATTTCATAAAAAAAAAAGTTAATAATGATAACATAAGATCAGTCGAATTTAGAACTCCTTTTTTAATCCGTTTAGAAATATGAACATGGTATCAAAGTCAGTATAAAAGCCAGACGCCGACAAGTACTAAAGTGAAAATTATATTATAACAAAGGCTGTGGAGACAGCAGCCCTTTATTTCACTACAGCTTTGTCCAACTTACCAAGGGTCACAAAGTTCATTTCATTAAAGGAGTCTAGTCAACTTCTGTATTGTTCCACAAACAGTACTCATAATATTTGAGGACCCGTTAAGATTTTTTTTGTTACAAAACAAATATAAATCAACGTCTCTCATTTTTGCTCAAACACAATAGAGGACAGTCTGGTGCCTTGATTGTAGCGTGGGGAATTATCCCTCCTGTTTCTGTATATTGGAATCTAAGGCTTCTAAGAATTCTGGGGTATTCACAGCCCATCTGATAACGTCCTGTATTCTCTGACAAGTTAGATCTGTCTTGGGTTTAGCACTTCTTTTCTCAGTTATACAAATGGCCCCACAAGATTTTTGAATACTGTTTGGTTTTGGACGGTTAAGCCGTTAGTTCGGTAAATTGGCGTTTTGTTTAACTATAAAAATCAATGGAAAATCTTTTTATTTTCTATCTTAATGTAACATCGAATGGATGTATGCATTGAAAACTGCATTGCAGTTGGATCGACCTACGCAGAATACGTACCTACGAATTTTAATAAATTTTCTAAGAACCTCAGTTCTTTGTGATCCATTTTCACCAAGTCACTTTAATTTTATTGTGTTACTGTATCTAAGTATCAATGCAATAAGTATAAAATTGCGACATGAACACAGAACATTTGAGGAAATATTTTATTCGTTTCAGAAAAAGCATGGACGATTGTAATCGTTATTTCTGGTAATAATAAAGTTCATAATAAAAAATAAAAAATGGATTACTATGTCTATCTTTAACTTTACTGAAACGATACTTCTGTACGTTCGTAATATTGTTTTGTAAACTACTCTGAGCACAAAATAACAGTCTAATTGCTTCAAAGTCGAGAAGGGAGTTCCTCTTAGTATGAGTCACCGGCAAACACAAGGGCCAATTGAAATTTAAAAACTATACATGATTATGTATATAAACGAAAACTTGGGTATGTAAAGATTACTAAACTTTATATCTTAAAGACATGCTCGACGGGACGTAAAAGTCAAACCAATTCTAGCGAAATATGCGAATACGTGAATCCCACTTATTTATTTATTTATAACTTTATGCACATTTGTCTCTGTTTTCTCCCAGTCAACTTTTATACACAGGCAAATACACACTATACACATATATATACACATACACATACACATACATATATATATATATATAAACAACAACAGAAGAAACACAGTAAACAGAGACAAATGTGCATTAAGTTATAAATAAATAAATAAGTGGGATTCACGTATTCGCATATTTCGCTAGAATTGGTTTGACTTTTACATCCCATCGAGCATGTCTTTAAGATATAAAGTTTAGTAATCTTTACATACCCAAGTTTTCGTTTATATACATAATCATGTATAGTTTTTAAATTTCAATTGGCCCTTGTGTTTGCCGGTGACTCATACTAAGAGGAACTCCCTTCTCGACTTTGAAGCAATTAGACTGTTATTTTGTGCTCAGAGTAGTTTACAAAACAATATTACGAACTTACAGAAGTATCGTTTCAGTAAAGTTAAAGATAGACATAGTAATCCATTTTTTATTTTTTATTATGAACTTTATTATTACCAGAAATAACGATTACAATCGTCCATGCTTTTTCTGAAACGAGTAAAATATTTCCTCAAATGTTCTGTGTTCATGTCGCAATTTTATACTTATTGCATTGATACTTAGATACAGTAACACAATAAAATTAAAGTGACTTGGTGAAAATGGATCACAAAGAACTGAGGTTCTTAGAAAATTTATTAAAATTCGTAGGTACGTATTCTGCGTAGGTCGATCCAACTGCAATGCAGTTTTCAATGCATACATCCATTTGATGTTACATTAAGATAGAAAATAAAAAGATTTTCCATTGATTTTTATAGTTAAACAAAACGCCAATTTACCGAACTAACGGCTTAACCGTCCAAAACCAAACAGTATTCAAAAATCTTGTGGGGCCATTTGTATAACTGAGAAAAGAAGTGCTAAACCCAAGACAGATCTAACTTGTCAGAGAATACAGGACGTTATCAGATGGGTTGTGAATACCCCAGAATTCTTAGAAGCCTTAGATTCCAATATACAGAAACAGGAGGGATAATTCCCCACGCTACAGTCAAGGCACCAGACTGTCCTCTATTGTGTTTGAGCAAAAATGAGAGACGTTAATTTATATTTGTTTTGTAACAAAAAAAATCTTAACGGGTCCTCAAATATTATGAGTACTGTTTGTGGAACAATACAGAAGTTGACTAGACTCCTTTAATGAAATGAACTTTGTGACCCTTGGTAAGTTGGACAAAGCTGTAGTGAAATAAAGGGCTGCTGTCTCCACAGCCTTTGTTATAATATAATTTTCACTTTAGTACTTGTCGGCGTCTGGCTTTTATACTGACTTTGATACCATGTTCATATTTCTAAACGGATTAAAAAAGGAGTTCTAAATTCGACTGTTCTTATGTTATCATTATTAACTTTTTCTTTATGAAATTAAAATATATTAAGTTTCGCCAGGGCTTTTCTAATTCCAGGGAGCAGAGGGAACATGGGGTTCCCACACGGGGGGGTCGTCTACTCGTCTGTAGATGGCCCGAGGTATGTCGGGGCACCAGGGACTTCCTTTCTAGGGTATACCTGGTTCCCCGGCTATTAGTACCCGAGACGGAGTGCGGTTTTAGTCGGTTCGAGTCCGACATGCCACCGATAGATGGTATCCGAGGGGATTTCCGCACAAAAAAAAAAGGGCCCTTCTAATATCGTAATAATTTATAAACCAATGACGTGAATATGTGTGTACCTAACTACTTTAGGAACACATATGTATGTACGTCATTGGTACGTAAAATCACGCCCCCTCAAAGTATGCAAATACTGAATTTACTAACGTTCGCAGAACATTTGATTATTCATTAAATTCAAAAATATTAGCGTTTCTGAGATCTATGAAAATGAATGTTATTTTGGTTAATTTACAAAGGAACTTCGAAGCTAAATCATTTTTTTCTCTTTTTATACTTATTGTAATCTTACCAGCTTTTGCCGCCGTGTATATCGGTTATCACGGTAAAAACTAGCCTATCTTACTCGCTTATAATGTAGGTGCATGAAGGTTTTATGTCAATTCAAATTATCTATTACCATACAACAGCAATTTCACACTTTAACCCCTATTAGTTAGTAACAAGTATTATATAACTTTAAAGGGACTGAATTTTCGATGACCGCTTTCGGTGTTGCGATTTACCCACACTGAATTCTTCACCAATCGCAATGCGAAACACGATCGCCATCGAGAGCAAGTTGATGTGAAATAAATACGCACTAGATCCCCAAGTGTCAGTGCCCGTAGCAACTGGCTGTCACGCTAAGTTGGCAATTTAAAGATGTTACTCAATAGCGTTAATTCCTGAGCATGTATATATTTATAAACAATTAAAATCATTACGCAGAACTTAATGGTAAATGATTTAATCAAGTAAATTGACCCAAAACCACGAAAGATTAAAACCCAGATCTATTTCAATGAACACTATGAGTAAAATATTATAGTCACTATAATGTTAATCTTCGTATGTTTGTGCGATAATCTGAATAACCTTAAAAGGTAGTTGGGAGCATACTAAACGTGTCTTATCTGTTACCCCTGCAATCTACACGTATAAATATTTATGTAGACTGTTTACATGCCTGTTTAGACAAGTTTTACAGAAACGTTACATTTCGTGAGAATTTTTATGTAACTAGGTGCCGAGAATACAAAATCTGTAATATTCAGCGGTTTTTTTTCGAATTTACGGATTGTTGAATTTATCATATATTTTGAACTTCTTTATCTCATTTTTAGTTATGGATAATATTGAAAATGTGAAATATATATTATGTGTTTGGTAATTTCATTGAATTTAATATTGCCCCTTTTAAATAACAAACTACACTTTAACCTATATTGGCCAGCATTGTCAACTTAATAAATTGAACCGTGTGTGGAGTAACGGGTGCCATGTCCCTCCAACACAAAGGGAGGATCCTCTGACCAGGCGAGGTGATCATGTTGAGTTGTACATAATAATATGCTAATCGGCGAGAAAATTCTTCATATCGCGATACAGGATTAGCAATTGTCATTTAGTAGTTACTCCGTATTTCTTTGTCTTCGTTAGATGGCGCTGTAGTAGGTTTCTGTATCTTCGTATGTTTGTTGATATGATCCACTATAATAATGTATAATAAACAGTAAATAGTATAAAAATGATCCAGTCCATAAGTTTCTCAGAATAAAAACATTGAGGCTGGTTTATCCAAAATGATTTGTATTTAGACCTTGCCATTACATTGCTATGAATGTTGAGGAGTCGATTTCACAAGTTGCAAGTTTATGTGTTCTTTATGCCCGTTATTTTTATGTTTGTAAATTATCCACAAATACAGGAACAATTCTTAGTGCAGAAATTGTTTTAAGAAAAAAAGGTTTTCATCACAACTTCGTTAATGAGGTTTTTCTCTACGAAATTACTATGGAAAATTTCAAATGTTAATTAGCATTTAGTAGCATTAATTTGATCATATTTCAATATTGAACCGTCTCTGCGCTATACGGTTTAATTATGTTGTGTGTTGAAACCGTTTTACAAAAAAAACCTAAAGACAATATCATAAACATAAGGTGAACGTCAAAACTTTGACGTCTGTTGATTTTATTGTCACCTTAACAGTCACTGTGAGTTGTCATTTTGTTAAAAAAAATATTGAAATTTAACATTGAAATTATTGTTAAAATGTTCAGGATATTTGGCAGACATTTTTCGACCAGTCAAAAACTGTATGACGCGAAAATAAAACTGCCGATGCCAGTCTTTGGCATTGAAGGCCGATATGTAGCAGCCTTATATAGAGCAGCATCCGTAAGTAACGAGCTTGATAAAGTAGAAAAAAGTCTGAGAGACTTTCAAAAAGAAATCTCCAAACCCAAAATCATAGATTTCATAGATACAAGTATGATATCGAGAGCCAATAAAGCTAAACTGTTAATAGAAGTTGGAACAGCAGCTTCTATGCCCAACACAGCAGCCAATTTCCTCGGAATAGTAGCTGAAAATGGACGGTTGAGAATGTTGAAAAGAATGATTCCTATGTTCCTCGCTGTCATGGTTGCTCATAGGAACGAAGCTTTATGTGAATTAATAACTGCTACGCCTCTCGAACAAGGAGCCCGCGATGAACTCATGGCAGCTCTTCAAAAGTTTGTTCAAGAAGGGAAGAAAATCAGACTTACTGAGAAAGTTGATAAATCTATAATCGGTGGCTTAATAATCGGTATCGAAGACAAACATATTGATATGAGCATCGCGAGGAAAGTGAAAATGTACACTGATTTACTGAAGCAAGACTTTTAGTTTATTTTAAGTATACTGATTAATAAATTAAACGTTATATAATTTACAAGAATTCATTTTTAATTTAAAATGTCACATTCACATTTACTAGAAAATTTCTCCAGCCGTATGATAAGGATAACATTTCTTAGCTACAAGATTGAATTGCAGTTTTTCTAAACTTTGAAATAATGTTCCTTTAGCTGGTAAACTATAGAAAATAATAGTTTAAAAAAAATAAAAAACACGCTTTCTGTATTCAAATTTATTTCCTATTTTTTAGTTTGGTTTTCTATAGAAAGTGTGTTTTTTGGTTTTTTAAACTATAATTTATTTTATTTTATTTTTTTAAATTAGTCTATTGTCATCGGTGCTCGATATATCTACAAAGTTTGAACGAATTCTGACCGTTTAAAGTCAGTTAATTAATCAAGATAATTTAAGACACCGATCAAGTTGTCTTTTGTGCAGTTACTCTTTTTACACGCTTTATATTAGCTTCACTTGTATGTTTGTATGTTTGTTTGTAACCGACTCCTTTGGGCGTGATTTTGACTGACTTTAAACGGTCAGAATTCGTTCAAACTTTGTAGATATATCGAGGACCGATGACAATACACTAATTAAAAAAAAATATTTTAAAAAAAAAGCGTGGGGTGCTTTTTACTATTGACAACAGGCACCCAACGCTTTTTTTTCAAATTTATTAAAATTTATTTTTTATTTTTTAGTTTGGTTTTCTATAAAAAGCGTGTCTTTTAAAACTATTTTTTTTTTAATTCTTCCTGTATTTTGGTGTAATTTATGTAAAATAATATGTCTTTATTAATATATAAGTATATTTATCAACAGTCTGATTACTAAACTGCATCCTTTGTCTAATTTGGAGTTGAGACAATCATAAGTGAGGTGTCTTAAGTTATTATTATTCTTATTCACTCCATTTTTGTTACTTTTTTATGTTAGTGGGGACGAGCGGACGGGTCACCTGATGGAAAGTGACCATCGTCGCCCATGAACGTCTGCAACTCAGGAGTCACAAACGCGTTGCCAGCCTTTTACTCCTTTCTAAAACGTTCTACGCTCTTTTCTTGAAGGTTTGAAGGTCGTATCATTTTTAATTTACGAAATTTATACCATCCTTTTGTCTCTTTTTCCGTTGAGCATCAGTACAGAATTTAAATGAAAGCAACTTAGTGACGAAAAATACTTTTCATTACTAAGTTCATTTCATTTCATTCTCTTTTCATATAAAGGTATAAAATCCTTTTATTCAGTCCAGAGGGCAAAGGGCTCAAAGTGCTTGCAATCTCCGCTCTGTAATCTGATGCTGCGGTAATGTACGAATGTGTGTTTGCGGCGAGTAAACTTCAATACGTTGGAATATTATACAATTTTGTGGTGGATATTTCGTTTAATATTAGAAACGTAGAAGAGTGTCTTTGATGTATATTGGTAGACTGTTCAATCGCAATTTAGTAGATCTAAAATTTAATACTGCTGTGCTCTATATTTGCCGTGAAAGCAGTTAACGTTACTTCCTCGGGAATAGTATGTTTTTTTGGATTAAATGTATACTGTGTCCAAGTTAATATAATTTGTAATATAATATAATCTACCACATTTGCACAACGCCATCTAGTCCCAAACTAAGCAAAGCTTATACTATGGCTACTAGGCAACTGATATAAATACATATATACTACATTTTTTTGTAAATACATAAATATTTTACATAGAAACACCCAGACCAAATCAAACATTAAATATTCATGCACACAAATGTTTGACTTGAGCGGGAATCGAACCCGCGACCTTTACAATAGCAGACCGTTACACAAACCACTATGCAGGTAGGATCCTGACCTGCTAGAGTTAAATATGGCATACACGCTTAATCTGTCGGTATTAGCAATTGGCTTTTCCTACTATTAATATCATATCATCATCAACAGCCTTTAATTATTAGTCCACTGCTGGACATAGGCCTCTCCGTAGAGGTTTTGGAATACTATAATACGCTGTCCAGATGGGTGAGTATAGGGTTTGTGTCAAGTCTTCCTTCTCCTTGCACTGTTGTCCTGCGTAGTTTGCTTCCTTAGTCGGCTCTTACCACACCCACGGGATGAATAGGGTGGTGACACTCCGTATTCTTAATTCGTCACCGCAGTGATAAGGTTTCATTCCTACTATTGATTTCCCTTTTATCCACCTTTCCTTCTAATATGCAACTTATTTTATCCTGAAAGCCGGGCCGTAAAACGGTCCGGTTTTCAGCAATAGTTTTACAAGGGGGTAAGGGCTCGGATAGCGTAGTGGTTTAAGCGGTCATACATACTGCGCTGAGTGTTGTGGGTTCGGTCCTCACATGAGACACCACTTTGTGTGATTGTTGTTCTGAGTCTGGATATTCTTTGTGTCCGTTTCATATTATGTTTGTAAAGTCCCCCGCGACACAGGATATATATTCCTAATGCGAGAGTTGTCTTTTTTTTAAAAGTGTAAGTGCTTACTAAGCCTATTGCCACTTATTTTGTGGGACTAAATGATATTCTACAAAATGTGGGAATTTAATATTCCTCTGTCTACCTCTAAAATACTTAGGCATGAATGTATGTATGATTTTGAGATGATCAATTATTTTTGTAACATAACAGAGTTTCAAACAAAGATTTATATTATTTTCTTAATTAAATGAATATTTGATATACTTGCCGAGATACAGTTATTTGCACACACGCTCTCAAAAACTTTTCATTTAAATATAATTTTAGTTTGTGAAAAAAATTCTTTGGATTTATATGGTTTTCGAAATCATACAAAATGGAATATGTTGTGACTTCCAACTAATGTAGTGAAGTATAAATTCTACGACTTTTTCTTTGAACTCGTAAACTAACAAAAATATGAGTAAATAAAAACATACATTTTATTATTTCAATAATAATAACTTGACACATCTGACGCACAGCCGTCTGATCCCAAATTAGGTAGAGCCTGTGCTATGGTAACCAGACTACTGATAAATATAGTACATGCGTACATAGTATTAAACTTAAAAAGGGGCCTGTAATTCCGTATATTTCCCACTCCATCTTCAGAAAAAAAAGTTAAAAGTCCTTTTAACTTTTTTTTAGATTTAAGCTTCAAAAAAAAATGTACAAAATATTTTTATAGGTACAAAAATAAATCCTGCAAATATTTTATCTGTTTTAATTTCAGTATCCACTTAGCTTGTGATACGCTTACTTATAAGGATTTATTCAAAGCTTATATTATTAAATAAAATACTTGATTATTAGGTATTCAGGTGTTATAATGAGCACATTAGCAAATAAAATACTCAACACCCGTGAAACGAGAAGTAATTTAACCTTCTTTCTAATTCTATATACGAAATCAGTGTTTAATTGTTTTTATTTTATTTGCTGTAGTTTTGTATAAAAGGTGCTTCAGATACATAAAAGGACATAGGCTGCCCATCATCGAGAACAGGAATAACAGTGGAAGAGCCATGCACATATGGACTGACTCAACCGCTGTGATACGACTATCGAGTGAGTGATGTTATCAGAGGTAATTTCCCTCCCACTGGAAGGGGAGGACGTCACACAAAGGGTGGGAAGGCACTTGTATGTCTTGAGTGGTATGTTTCCATGAGCGCTGGTCATTTACCATTTACTCGTCCTTTGCCCATAATATTCAGTTCAAAATAATCCAAAACTATATCATCATCAATAGCCTTTAATAGTCCACTACTGGACATAGGCCTCTCCTTAGAAAGGAGGTTTTGGCCTGGTTGGTATCGGGTTTTGTATCAAGATTTCCTTCTCTTTGCAGTGCTGTTGTCCTGCAGAGCTTGCTCCCTTAGTCGGCTCTTACGACACCCATAGGATGAATAGGAGTGGTGACACTCTGTATTCTTAATGTTACTATACAGATAATATTCTTCAAACTACATCATTTTATTAATATTATGTTGGTGTCAGGTCTCTTTACCCCTTGAGAAGCGAGCTCTTCCGAGCACGAAACTATTGAAAAATCCCCGAAACTCACACGTAAGTAAATTACTATGTCTTTTTAAATTTTATTTATAAAAGTTACATACACAAAATCTGTTCCTTATCGATTGAAATCTAAAATATTAATAAGGCCATTAAAGCTAATACGATAAATATATGTTTGTATACGTCTATAGAACTTGGCTTAAAAAAGTTTCTGACCCAAGCAATGAGGACAAAAACTACCCTAAACTTTCTTTTTAAATAGTAAACGGGACAAAAAGTTGATATCGAAATTACGTATCTACAACAAATTGTCCTACAGAAGTTATTGAACAGACACAAAATTCCACGCCAACCTCAATTATTGTTGAGGAAAGTTAGAAAAAATATCAAAATCTTTTTACCAACTCAAGGAAGGAAGATTATGGACGAAAAGAAAACGACAGTTCGTTTTAGAACGTTTTATTTCTCTTTGAAAGTTGTCATTTCACATCCAATTCTTTGGAAAGGCTTCGTTTTCTGTTAACACCTATTAAACTTGCTTCGTTTACTCGATAAAATATAATAAAACATAAAAAAATACTTTAAAGTTGGTCTGATTTATAATTCTTATTGAGTTTTGATTTATTGTACATAGGAAATCTTGCCATTTTTATAAAATAGTTATTTTGTGTTAAAAACGCATTAAACACAACTTGGGCTACTTTTACCGCGATAACCGATATACTGAGGGAAAAAGTGATAAACCTTGAGAACAGAAATTTGACACCAAATTAATAAACTAATTACGGATCCACAGTATCCCATTAATCTTTATATATATAATTCTTCTGTGAGTGTTTATGTCACTGAACTTCTCTCAAACGACTGGACCGATTTTGATGAAATTTTTTGTGTGTGTTCAAGGGGATCTGGGAATGGTTTAGATTCACAATTTTGTCCGCTGGACAATGTTTTTTTAATTAATTTTTAATTTATTAGTAGTTGTTGATTTTGGAATGTTTTACATTGGATCAG